TATAGTAGTATACACACAGATGTGCACTATATACATGTAGTTGGTATACACACACAGACCTGCACTATATATGTATAGTGGTATACACACAGATGTGCACTATATACATGTAGTTGGTATACACACACAGACCTGTACTGTATATGTATAGTAGTATACACACAGATGTGCACTATATACATGTAGTTGGTATACACACACAGACCTGCACTATATATGTATAGTGGTATACACACAGATGTGCACTATATACATGTAGTTGGTATACACACACAGACCTGTACTGTATATGTATAGTAGTATACACACAGATGTGCACTATATACATGTAGTTGGTATACACACACAGACCTGCACTATATATGTATGGTGGTATACACACAGATGTGCACTATATACATGTAGTTGGTATACACACACAGACCTGCACTATATATGTATAGTGGTATACACACAGATGTGCACTATATATGTATAGTGGTATAGTTGGTATACACCTGCAGACGTGCACTATATATGTATAGTGGTATACACACAGATGTGCACTATATATGTATGGTGGTATACACACAGATGTGCACTATATACATGTAGTTGGTATACACACGCAGACCTGTACTATATATGTATAGTAGTATGCACACAGATGTGCACTATATACGTGTAGTTGATGTACACACGCAGACCTGTACCGTATATGTGTAGGTGGTATACACACACAGTCCAAGGAAACAGATCTGAGCAATGCCTGTCCAGTGTGAGAAGAGAGGGTACACATGAACCCCCTCATATTAAAAGCAGGTGCCAATGCCTCAGAAGGTCATCAGTGAGGCTTTGTGCTAGGTCAGCCCTGACGTCCTGCCAGCCAGTGGGATGGCAGCTCCCTAAGAGTGAGGACTGGGTCTCTGTTCACAGCTGTATTCATGGTGTCCAGAATGGTCATTCACTCATCAGCTGGACATCTGATTCAGTTTATCAGTGGTTCTCAGAGTATGGCTGCAGGACCCGTCCCTGGGAGTCCAGGACACCCTGTGGGAGCTCCGTGATTCCAAAACTAGTTTTGTCACGAATCAAAGATGTTATTTGCCCTTTTCACTCTCATTCATTCATGAGTATGTGGTGGGGTGCTCTAGAAACTGCATGACATGGAATATCACGATAAATAGAGTACAGAAACAAATATGAGAATCCAGCTCTGTTGTCTTTAGGGCGGATATGAAAGAGATTTGTAAAATGTAAAACAGTACACTCTTTTCACTTAGTTTTTTGAAAACATGTAAATTAGTTTTCATAAAAATGCTATTTATATTAACATAATGGGTTTATTCATATTATGTTTAACTGAATGAACAAATATATATTTTAAATAATTACAGCTTGATTTCCAGAACAGTAAAATCAGGAGATATAAAACAAAAGCATCTTGGCGTTCTCAGTAATTTTCAAGAGTGCAAAGGGGTCGTGAGATCAAATTCTTGGAGAACCTCTGCTTGTGCTTGAATTTGGTTTTAAGTTCAGTAGTTTTGGAAAATGCAAATTTGTGATTCAAATTAGTAAATGAACTAGAAATTTTGGTTGTTAATACTTCCATGAAACACTGATATGTGAAAACACTCATAAATTCTAATGGTTTGTTAATGTTTTAGGTTCCTGATCATAGTACCTTATTTTTATAGGTAATTGAAAGAAATAGAATCATATTGGCTAAAAGACTTTACCTCAATGAAAAAGGCTGGAATAAGTATACTAAACATTTCATCATACTGCTCTCAACAAAGGTAAAGTTCAATTCACTTCAGTTGTGGATAAAAGACTCCAAGTGTTGAGAGTTGAGACCATTAAATTTTTATTTTTATTTATTTGAAAGACGGAGGGAGGGAGGGAGAGGAGAGAGAGAGAGAGGTAGAGGTAGAGGTAGAGGTAGAGGTAGAGGTAGAGGTAGAGGTAGAGGTAGAGGTAGAGGTGGTAGAGGTGGTAGATGTGGTAGTGGAGGTAGAGGTGGAGGTAGAGGTGGAGGTGGAGGTGGCAAGAGATATCTTCCATTGGTTGGTTCATCCCCCGAACGTCCACAGCAGCCAGGCTGAAGCCAGGAGCCCAGAACTCACCTGGGTCTACCACATGGGTGGCAGGGACCAAAACACTTGAAGCATCATCCACTGACTCTCAGGATGCATTAGCAGGAAGCTGGATCAGAAGCAGAACAGCCAGGGTTTGAACCTGCACTCTGCTGAGAGATGTGGGTATCCCAAGGGGCACTGCGTCACAAGGCCTGCTTTGCTATATGTATAGGTTCTTTAAAAATATAGTTGTATATTTGTGCTTTACTGTGTGCAGAATGAAAGATCTAAGGAAAGGCGAATAAAAGCTTTTCCTTATATTTGCCTTTATCAAAGTTTAATAACTCTACAAAATTATAGTTATGATTCATTTATTAATGTGTTAACTTAAAAAATAAGTAACTGTGTATTAAATAGCTGCATTATAGTGTATTCTATGTACTTTATGGAGAGATCAGTGAACAAGTTAGTGAGAAAAGGTGAGAACCCATATTCAGCATGTTTCTACTGAGGCAAACCACTCACACTGTCATCCCATCTAACTCTTAAACCTGAGAGAATATGTATGAGCCTTTATTTTATGAATAATAAAATTAATCACAAGGGGATTAAATAATATCACTCAAGTTTACAGTAACTGGTGAGGATTCGCATTTGGTCCTATCTGATTTCTTTCCAGTGCACACACTGTCCCTGTGAAAGCCTTGTGGGAAAATTGGGTTCATGTTGCAAAGAGAGAAATCTTGTCCCAAATATTTTATGTACCATAAAAAATCCATCAGCAAACTGTATAGTAGTGTCACTGATGATATTTTTAAAGAAAAATATCTTTTTAATATTTCAACCCATTTCCTTTGGATTTCTCTATAGTGTTAATAATGGCCTTGTGTGTGCTCATTAATAATTGTTACAAGAAAAGTTGTTTGATTTCATGCTTTCATCTAGGATACTGCAGACCTTGCGTTGTTGCAGAAGTTGACACAAAAGTGGAGAAACTTAATGAACAAATTTAAACAGGAGGTGGAACAAACGGAGGAGTGTACCTCGGAGAAACTGCAGATTGTTAAGGATGGCGTTGTCAAATGGCATCAGTTCTTGGTTGATAATAAGTGGGTCTGCTGGAATCCTGTTTTCCTGATTATACCATATTATGTCTGATAACTCAGTCCTATTCTCCTGTCTCTCTCAACGGTTTACCTTATAACTGCGCAATCATAGATTCTGGGGAGGTAACCAACAGACCTTACAAGGGCACAGCCCTGCAGCGGACTCTGAGAGTCTTGTGGTTTTCAGTGCTGTCTGTGTCCCGAACGCCCCGCCCAACTGCTGCTGCCTTCATTTAAATCCAGCTCTTTTTATTTCTCTTTTTAAAATGAAGTCGGCTTATGTCATTACTCTTGGCAAGCACGAGTAGCTGGCCATCTGCAAACCCCATAGCACAGGGCCTCTGCAGAGAAGTAGAACCACTGAGTGACAGTTAGGGGGCCTCTGCAGAGAAGTAGAACCACTGAGTGACAGTTAGGGGGCGATGTTTCTTGGCTGTCGTACTTTGCAAGGATTAGAGGACTCTGACAATGGAAGCAGCTGCCAGGGAAGCCCTTAAATTGACCGAATCACAGCCAAGGTGGGTGGGAGTCTACACTTTGCATACAGGCTGGGCTGGATGATTTCAAGGGTTGTTTTTAAGAACTTTAAAGAGAGACACATTTAGGTACTGTTTCCATTTGAAACTGAGAACAATGGTTTCAGATTCTCATACCCCGTAAAAAAAAGTCCCAGTTAGTAGGTGTGGAAGTTCTGGAAGCTGAAGCTGGTACCACTCCCAGCTGCTTGCCACTGCCAGGCGCAATTTCTGGAGTTTGTTGACCCTTAGCTGGGAGGGTGCACAGGTGGCCGGGTTCTCTTCTCTCTTTCTCTTCAGAAACTTCGTTATCAACAGCTTTCTCCTTGTGAGACTTCAGAAAATTAAAGGAAACTCTTATCTGAAGTCGGCACCCTGGACCCGAATGTTGAGTCTAATAATTACTTTAATTACTCACTAGGCTTCCTTGCTATTTCCATATTGTTTTGGCAGCTGTAATCAACAGGAATTCTTAAGCTGATGGTCTAGTTTTGAATTCCCCAGACTCAGGGACCACTGTTAAATGCTGTCATGGTCCATTGTCCTGAAACTTGGTTGCTCAGGTCTCTAATTAGAGTCTGCATTTTATTTTAAAGATTTATTTATTTGAGAGGCAGAGAAAGATCTTCCATTCACTGGTTCACTCCCCCAAATGGCCACAATGACCAGAGTCAGGCTGATCCGAAGCCAGAAGCCAGGAGCTTTTTCTGGGTCTCCATGCAGGTGCAGGGTTCCAAGCACTTGGACCATCCTCCTCTGCTTTCCCAGGCCATTAGCAGGGAGCTGGACTGGAAGTGGAGCAGCTGGGACACATATTGGTGCCCATATGGGATGTCGGCGCTGTAGGCGGAGGCTTAAGCCTCTTGCCCCACAGTGCTGGCCCCAGTGTCTGCATTTTTGGGTTTCTAAGGGGCTGTACCTGAAGGCATGCTTGAAATCACTGAGGCAAAACTTTTGTCAGTTGCTGTCAAGTGTATGCACTTAGGACTTCCTTTGTTTTTACCTTGTTCTCAGACTTTTCTTTTGCTTTTTTCTTCTTTCAGTGAGAAAGACATTTTGTTCTCTAGTAAGGGCAATGTGCTAGAGTTGGTTATTCCAGACTTCAAGCAGTGGCAAAAGGTAACACTTTGTAGTTAACAACTTGTCTATCAAGGCACTGGTTGTAAACTTGACATTCCTTACCTCCACCTGAGTCACATCTCAGTCTTTAAAAATACCACGCTTAGCTTTATGAAGGACCTTTTTAAATACACATAGATGTTTCCAGTTCTGTTTCAGAGTTTTGAGTTAAATAAAATTAGCCTGTCCTCCTCACTCCCCCTCGAAAAAGAATTGAGGGAAAAGTTACTGTGGTGGCAGTGACGATGGTTCTGCTTCTCTCTTCTGATTGTTATACGTGAGAAACGTTTGTGTCTCCTATGTGCCTGGCTTTTCCCTTAAGGACAATGTGGACTTTTGAGGCTAATGACCTTGTTTCATGTGTGAAGTTCAGGGGCATTAAGTACATTCACAGTGTTGAACAACCACCAGCAGCCCCAAAACTTTCATCTTCCCAAAGGGGGCCCAGTTCCGCCTTCACCAGCCTTGAGTGAGCATCGTCTCCTTTCTGTTTGAATTTGATTGCTCCCGGTACCTCGGTACTTCGTGTAAGTAGACTCATGCAGTATTTGGTCACGTAATGTTCTGTTGTGGCAACTGTCAGAATTTCTTTCCTTTTTAAGGCTGAATAATATTCCATCATACATATTTATATACCATATTGTTTATCCGTTAATCACGTCTTTTGAAAAGTATTCAAGCTTCGAGAAATAGGTTTCCTTATTTAAATCAGTATCACATTACACTAGTTGATTAGCCCGACAAAGGAAAATGTAGACTATGACACTGAAACACTTCCAAAGGGAGTATCGAATTCGTGAAACCTCATCCAGATCCCCACAGTGGACCAGAATGTTCTCCCAGCGGAAGACATCAGCTGTGTAACATGCAGTGTGTACAGTTCAGTTGCTTTTGAAGCTTGGACCTGGTAGATGGGGTTGAGAGATCGTGCTTCTTTATTAGGAATACTGGTGACTCAGCGTCTGAGCACTTCGTCCTGGTGAAGGGCCGGTGCTGCTCCCCACACAGTATCTAATTTACGGTGCAGGTCTTAGAAACCCCACCTCACAGATACAGAAATTGAACCTTAGGACTCTTAGACGTTATGTACATTAGTTACCTATACGTGGTGTGACAGTCAGCATTTGGTCTCAGCCTCGCCAATGCCACAATTTTTTTTTTTTAAACAGGCAGAGTTGGACAGTGAGAGAGAGAGAGACAGAAAGAAAGGTCTTCCTTCCATTGGTTTACCCCCCAAATGGCGCAGTGCGCCAGCCCGAAGCCAGGAGGCAGGTGCTTCTTCCTGGTCTCCCATGCGGGTGCAGGGCCCAAACACTTGGGCCATCCTCCACTGCACTCCCGGGTCACAGCAGAGAGCTGGACTGGAAGAGGAGCAACCGGGACAGACTCCGGCGCCCCGACCGGGACTAGAACCCGGGGTGCTGGTGCTGCAGGCGGAGGATTAGCCTGGTAAAGCCTTGGCGCCGGCCGCCAATGCCACAATTCTGTCTGCCACACCGTCTCCCTACACTGAATACTCATATTGAAGGGTGGGTAATGCTTCCATTCTCCAGATAATGCCAAACTCTCTATCTATGTGGTGGACTTTATTTTTTACAGAAATATGTTTTGATAGTTCTCATTCAAGACTTGGACTGGGGGTTATAGAGATAAATAAAATGTGCACTAGCTACAGCGTGTACATTCCAAGACCTTTTCCAGTGTAGTGGGGGACCTGGGAGCCGACATGTCACAGCCTCACCACAGTCATTAGACACGCACCATGCTCTACGACTTAATTTCTTGTCACTGTTTTTTTTTTTTTAATCCACCTAGAATTTAGTACAATTGCTGGTTAATCATGGATTGTG